AGGGTATACTCTTCGCATTCGTTACACCTGACTGCTTTATTGTCACGGGTATCGGCGTGGAATGGCGACCCGTGTTCGTGCTGGTTATCTTGCATTCCCTTTGTTTACATTTTATTGCAGTTACGTATATTTGTGTTTGTTTTTATACTGCATTGACCTGTGCAACTGTTGTAAGTGTCTTTGGTATCTTACTCTCCTGCATTAGAAGAAGCACAGTTATTTTTCTCGCTACCAAGTGCTGTATAGCATACGTCCGTCTACACCGGAGACGATTGATTACACTGAACAGTGACCAAGTGAGCGGCTCTATATATAGGGGCCCTCAGATACAGCTCGAGTCCAATCGAATATGGCGGACACATTCTTTTTACGAGTCGTGTTCAGCTTTAAGGCTTACGAGGCCAATACAACTTTCTTTTTCTGAGGTCAGTATCACTTGACAGGCGTCTTATAACCACATATATGCCGTTAACTGAGGTCCATTATAGTTATATTATATAATCACTCCAATCTAGTAATCTGATATGTAGTGATGTTTTTTTTGTTGTTTTTTTTATTGGCTCTTACATTTTACAAATTTAGATAAAATACAAACATGTAACATTGCAGAAAGAATATATAATAAATATTACTTAACATTATCTTATATAATAAAAAAGCCTAATAATTGAATATGTTTTTGGGCTTAATCATGTATAAAAATACTTTAAATCAGTTTTCCAAATTCTCTAATAATTTTTGCCATTCATTGTAAAAATCTTCTAATTTTCTCTTACTACAATATAAAAATTTTTTGATATATAGTTTTTCCCTTAGCATTTTTCTAAAAACAGTAAAATTCAAATTACATTCACAACTCTCTTGTGCATTTCTAATCTTATAAACATAGTATTTTGCTAGCAGTAAACAGTAATTCAGAGGTTTGTTATAAGTACTTGTACCTTCCTATCAGAGATAGGTGCCTCATTTTCCAGAGGTTGAGAGTTGCTTTAATGTCATCTAATTTGGAATTGAAATTTTTAACTTAACAGTCATATTCCCCATGTACACTAAACCAGATTCCAAGTGTAAAAAATAAACCATTGGACCATTTCACTGGTAAACTTCCTGGAGGAAAATTCCTACAACTACCAATCCATATGGCTTCTGTTTTATTTAGATTAATCTTTAAACCAGAGCAATATTTAAAATTTCGGATGATTCTCAATACTTCAAATCCTGATTTTTCATCACTTAAGAAACAAGTCGTGTCATCTGCTAGTATAACTGACTGATTTTAAAATCTGTTTCACTAATTCTTATACCGTGAATACTTTTATTTGATCTTATTGCAATAGCCATTAATTCAACACATAAGATAAATAGATAAGGTGATAAAGGACATCCTTGTCTAACGCCTCGCGAAATCTCAAAAAAAGAGGAGGAATACCTATTATTAATCAAACAACTTGTAATGCCTAAGTATAGGATATGTACCCATTGCCGTAACCCTGTACAGAATCCAAAAGTTTCTAATACTTTATCTAAATATATCCATTCAACTGTATCAAAAGCATTTTCAAAATCGACTAATAAATTAAGTCCAGGAACTTGTGTAATCAATAAGATCTGCAATAGTTCTTATATTTTCTCCTATATATCTATATGTAACCTGTTTGATCAGTATCGACTATATAAGGTAGAAGTTTTTTAATTCTTCTTGCAAGAACTTTTGCTAATATTTTATAATCAAAATTCTGTTAAGATATTTTCACATTCCTCTTTACTAATTAAACCTTCACATGTTGCAGAATCTTCTTTAGTAAGTTTTGGAATATTTTCACAGTCCACAAAATAACTAATATGTTTTTGATAATTGTTTTTTTCTAAATTAGTTGAGTAGAGATTTTCAAAGAAACTTTCTTCTAACTTGAGGATTTCATTTTTATCACATATAATTTTGTCATTAACTACCAACTTATTTATACACTTATTTCTGTAATTTCTTTTTTCTAAAGACAAAAAGTATTTTGTAGATTTTTCTCCCTCTTCACACCATTTTGCTTGAGATCTCAATATTATACCCCTTGTTTTTAAGTCTGTTAATGCATTTAGTTTTTCTTTTATTTCATTTGATAAAGTCATATTTTCTTCAGATTGATCAGCTGATAGTATTTCATTTTGTTTATCTAATTCATTTTAACAGTGTTTCTTCTTCCTGTCTACTTTTTCTTGCTTTTAATTTTGAATATTTAACAATAAATCCTCTAAGTTCACATTTAACTGTGTACCATTTTAACTGGTGGTCATCTAAACCTATATACTTCTCTTTTAAACAATTGATGAGTTCTTTTGTTTTCCTCACAAATTCCTCATCTCCTAATAATGATGAATTAAATCTCCAAAACCCAGGGCCTCTATTATGATGGACTTCCCCTTTAAGTGTTAAAGATATGACACTATGATCTGTTTTAATAGCAGGTTTTATATTTGACTTTGCATGAGGAGAGAGAGAAAACAAGGAATTATATATAAAAAAATCTATTCTTGATAAAATTAAAGGTTTTTACATGAATATGTGTAATAATTTTTATCTGGGTTTTGTTCTTTCCATATATCAGTTAAATTAAGATCTTCTAAAGCAGCTAGAATATTGTCTCTATAGTTTTCCTTCCGTAGTACCGCCTTTTTTATCTTGTAGTGGATTTAAAGTAATATTAAAGTCTCCCCCAAAGATAAGATTTTCATAGCTATGTGGTTCTACATGTATGTAAGTCAATAACAAATTAAAGAACTCCACCTGGCAGTTTGGCTTATCCTTTGTTAGAGCATAAATATTTGTTAAGATAAAATTGGTTTGTACGCAGCTATGTGAAGGCTTCCCGAAGCTTTAAAATGCGCTCAAAACACAATATGCCATTGCGAGGTCGGTTTTAGTTTTAATTTATAAGTATTGAACTTTACTACTTCCAATTTATATAAAGAGTTTCCTCGGCTATATATTAGCATATTTGTTATGGTATCACATGACTTTGTTGATCACGTGACGGTCATTTATAATTTTTTGAAGTGTTTCATATAAATCGCTTCGGCGCAGCTGTTTAACACAATAATTATTAACATTTTGTGATATAAATAAACTCATCGTATCCTTGTGTATCCGAAATGTGCTTGGGAAAAGTCATAGTATTCCTTGGGTACAAAATATTTCCTGAGAAATTCAACTTACCTAAAAATTTGAGGGTATTTTCCACACAATATCGTAATCTGTATTAAAACAAAGCCAACATACATTTTTCCCAAGCAAGATTCAGTTAGAGAACAACCTCTTTTTACAGATTTCCACAAAAATTCTCAGATTAATCCTCATTAATCACCTGCGCCAGACTCTTTTATACACACAAAATAAATTCTACCTCCAACCACGGGTATAAAACAGAGTACGTTTCAAAAGTATATTTTTCATAAGCATTTTGAACATGATGAATTTCAATCAAGGGTAGGTAAGCGGTGTATTTTTAAAATATTCGGACATATAAGACTTAAAAAAAACCTTTAACGACCCGTGAATTTTGCAATAGCTACATGTATCTAGCATTTTACATGCAGTTTGACATAAGGTGTAAAGTTCATGACACTCTCCCCGTCATAACACCTCAAGTTTGCAGTGACCTGACGTCATTTTCCATTATGACATCATATTTTGGTAGTTCAGAGATGTGAAGGCACAGAGTGCACTGTCATATTCTACGGGAAGCCTTAACCTACCTGCGTAAAATTCTACCTTCATTATCTTGTCTTTTGTCTTTAATAACATAATCTATATTATGGGAGGATAGAATAGCTACTCCCCTACTATTTAATTCACCATGACTGAATTCTATATCAGAACCCCAATCCTTTGACCACTGACTTTCATTTTCTAAGACTGAATGTGTTTCTTGTAAATATATAAAACTATTCTTACAGGAATTTTTTTGCCGCGTAAAAATATCAAGTCTTTTAATTTTTGAGCCGAGCCCTCTAACATTAAGTGAAATACACGATAATTCAAACGACATCAAAATTGAAAAAAAAATATTCTACATGTGATGTTACTGCAATGCTACAACTGTGTGACAAACTAATACATTGTGTTGCATAGCCAGGTATCATGAGAAAAGGAACAAAAAATGAAAGTGAAAATATTTACAAAAGGTAACAAAGAACATATCTTGAAGAGGTGACAGAAGACCCAAAAAAAGCTATAGTCTTCCTTTCTTAGTCTAAATCGGAAGTTTACTTTTGTGTTGTAAAAGATAAAGACCTGTTCAAGAGGGGTTACATTATCCGGAAAAAAAATCCGATAGTTCAAAAGATAACGCATTACAAGCATTTGACAGAGCATAATAAAGAATGTCTATTTTGTCAGTGAAAAAAGAGTATGAATAATGCAGCGTACCGTTAATATAACTGCTTCACAATGAACTATTCTATGAATAATGTTTTAAAACATCGAAGGGGGGGGGGTGTTACATAATTATCTCACATCAAAGTAAAATAACAACCAATAAAGTGTAACTCCATAAGATATGAGTTTGTGGTTGAAAATTCTGAATAGTTAATTATGTAAGCAAACAACATTTACATATATACATGCTCGCAGTACTACATGATTTGAAGCGATTTAACTGATTACAGTTTAATTTAATAAGAAAATACAGAGTCTATATGCAGATCATATACACACTCAATGACTTGTGTTTCGAAGAACCACGTCAGTCAGAAGATTTTCCAGAATTTCAAATCGACGACCGCCGATGTGCTTCGCTTGAAAGCGCGATATAACAACCGTCATATTTGTGACTTGTAAGTTCTGCATTATTTTGACTAATCTACGCCCTGCGCCGAACTCATCATCATCGTTGTATCCCTCGTGAGTCTGTCCGCTTGAATCTCGAAATCTGTAAACAAGTATGTTGTGATCAGCTTTGGCATGGGGTTGATCACAGAATGCTTTCTTGTACATGTCGCGCACTTGGTTATAGCACTCCGTTGTTACCCCCCATCCCTCGAAAGATGTTCCCTCCTTCATTTTTTTCCAACTCCGTCACTTTAATCTTCTTAAGCGCCTCTCTTTCTGCTTGATCCATTCCTAGGATTTGTTCTGCTTTTGGTTTCTGTACTTTATCTCTATGTATACTTCCATTTGGGAATACAAGTTTCTCTCCCACAATGCGTATCTTAACGTTAGCTTTCCAGTATTTGTTGTTTAATTCTAATAGTTTCTTTCGATTTTCTGACAATTCAATTGGAGTTTGTGGCGTGATGAAGAATGTTGAATTGTGTTGCAAGGAAGAATTCTGGTCGATTTCCTCTGCTTGTTCTGTACGTTGATTTTTGTTCTCCCTCTGTGCCTGCAGGATCAAGTCCTTATCCGTAAATTTGTTGAGTCGCCCAGTGATGGTTCTTGGCTTCCCTTGTATTTTTGGACCGTTTCTGTGAATATTTGCGAAAGATGTATCTACTTTAAAATGCGTCTTGATAAGTTCTGGGTTTTTAACAAATAGATTTTCGCCATCTTCTTCAGGGAGATTATGAATCAAAATATTTTGTTTCATTAATCTCGATTTGAGATCAATGATTTCATTCTGATTTTTAATTACTGTTCTCTCCAGATTAATCACTATGGATTTCAACATGTTGACGTCTTCTCTGAGCGATATGTTCTCTTGTCTCAGCTGATGAAGCTCATCCTCTCCATCTACCTGCTGCTGGGCTATCAATTTGGTTCTATGATCGAACCCGTCTTCTTCCCACAAGTCTTTCTTGATAACGCTTATTTCCTCGGTAATATTTCTGATCGTCCTAAGTGAGTCCGTTATTTCCCCTAGGCTAGCTTGAAGACTGGGGAGTAAATGCACAGCACTGACCAACTCAGGTGTGAATGGGTTACCTGTAATACTCGGTACAGAGAAAATGTGTCCCTCTACGAGTGATTTCTGCTCACTGCGACTCCTATTTCTATTCATGTCTGTTAATGTACAAAATATAAGCACACACGGGCTAAAAAATCAGATTTCAACAATCCTCAAAACCAACTCCAGGAAAAGCAAACACTACACACACATTACACACACATACTGGAAGATATATTGGAAGATATATAGCCTTTTTTTTTATCCGAAGCCGGAGCTCAGAAAATCATGACCGGCCTAAGCTCAGACTTTAGTGATGTTGCCGTACATGAAAAAAGATTTGATTAACTGTGAAGACGTCATAATAAAGAAATCATGACTTTTGATTTTTGCAGGAATAGTATAAGAAAATTTCACGGGAACACCCCCTATAAAAATTACGCTCCTGGCCCAATAATCTTCTTTAATTTGATTTGTTCCATGAATTATTCCTCTACTCCACATTTACAATGTATTCCCTATGAAAAATACAAAACATAACACAGAATGAACGTTTTAGGTACCACAGATACGACTTTTTAATTTTTCTTAAAAATTAGACATTTTTAAATATTAGGACTTCACGGTTTTTTTTCTTCCTTCCTATAACTTATAGAAAAAGTATCCACTTGGATTGATTAATCAACACTCACTTTGAAAAAAAAAGTCACTCAAAGCCATTTCTCGAGAAAAAAAAAATCAATTGTTTGTATTCAAAACAGTAGAAATCTTTATTTTAGAAAATTAATTGAATACACGTAGCAGTACATGAAAACACTATCAATAATACAGGTCGAACAAAACATTTAGTAATGTATATGCAGTTAGCATCAAAACATAAGACATGCGGTCAAACATACACTTCACTGCTTCTAATGCAAGCTCGTAAAAACTGCATTGTTACAATAATTATTCTATCTCTTTGAAGGATAATTATATATATTTTTAATGTCGTACATCTGATGTCACTCGAGTAATGTCTTACCTTCATAAAGGAAGAAAATATTGTCGGAGGATCACTTTTTTGAGGCATCAGCGAATACACAATCAGTCTATGCTCTAAAATTAAGGAGCAGAGTTACTTTCTTTCGTATGTCCAATCTGTGTAAAATTTTTGTCACCTCACAAAATCAATGTACTGAAGACTTACAATTTTCACGCATAAAAATCATATCTTTATTATGACACCCCTAATAATGTTATAGTGATTAAAATTCAAGACACGTGGTTGTAGTTTGACCCATTCAAAGGTTATAGGTAGATCCGGTTTCATGAATAAAATTGGTAGTAAACAGGAAATTGCTATAGTCTGTTTCTTTAAAAAAAAAATGTCCTATGAAAGATTTTTGTTTCCAGACCTTCTGAAAAGTTTTCATGATTTTAAAAAGGAAAGGGGGTGGGGTGAATATTCGCTTCTCTGATTTACGGCGACAATTTTTCCAAAATCACCCAATACGCTTATAGAAAAAAATGTGTCATATCTTCTATAATCACCAACCTTATGCTTTGTTTACCTTTTATAGCTATTGTTATCATTGCGCACAGCGGATCATACCACGAACAATTGACCAATGAAGAGCAAGGTTTACTGGACAACTACATGTTTACATATTTCTTCGAACACGTGGTTCACGTCAATCTGCGACCCAATATTGAAGAGTGTTAAATGGATTGTAAAATCCAATTGGAAAAAATTGTTAAATTATGAAAAAAAATATACAAAGATTAGAAACTAAGAAAGATGTCACGGACATTTATTGATACGTCATTGTTATTTAGAAAATGTACATAATAAAATGTAGTCTATGCCACGTTAAGCGCTTCAATGATAAAGAAAATGAACAGCATCTCTTGGGCATTTAAATGGACAACAAAGGTATTTTTTACATTATAATACTCGTGAACACGTGTTTCCACCGGACAATTGTATTCACCGATAGTACAATAAAGGAATACAGACGCAAATTAGTTTACAGTATGGCTTTGAGAAACCTAGAATTTCAAGTTTATTTAACAAATGAATTGTTTGTAATTGTTAAATACTAGAATAAAAATGGACATGTTGTTTATTTATCTACGATCGAAATGCATGGAAAACATGTTAATTGTGCCTTTTCGATTGCCTGTAAATTTGTTTTTTTCTAAGAGTAAAATTCCAGTAATATCTTTAGTAACCCATAAGGCAATTCAACGCATTCAGCTGATTTGTCAGATTAATCATGTTGGTACATGTACCTATTATGCTAATCTGACGCCAAAAATATAGTTCAGTTCCCATGCAAGTCTGCTTGTCCAGAAAGAAATTTTAATGAATAAATGCAATAAATAATACCATAAAGAATACTTATTGAAGTTTGAATGAATTAAAGAGAAACTGGAGTACATTCCTACATAAATTATACAGTGTTGAAAACTGAAACGCAACACAACTTTTTTCTGTTTAACATGTCTCCACGTGCTAGTCACTTCCTATCCACATTTCCGTGAATTATCTTATCTCGCTGCGCAGTACAGTTAAGGTGCCAAATGGGAATATCGGTGAATTTTTTAGATAGAAAATATTTTCTTTACAAGGATGGGCGATTCTTTTTAGGACTTTACCATTATCGGATAAATTAATGTTATGTGGTTAAAAACTGCATGTTGAGGACTATTAGATTTCTTATTTAGACTTGTCACGTGATGTGGTAGTCACGTGATTTTAGCAAATATATCTGCCGTATTGAGGTCATCTATAAGTATACCAATATTACAAGGGCATAACCAAGTTAAAAATCTAAGTTTAATTTATAGTTATTTTCAACAATCTTTGTAGTTTGTGAAAAGTGCTCCGAACCTATATAGATTCGACTAATTGCTAAAATTACACTTTTAGACCGTGTGTTGAATATTTTGCTGGTCAAGTACATTAAGTATAGACATAATTAATTCATTTGCAAGATTTCTTCAGGTTCGCAGCACTTTTCAAATATCTTCATACTTCTTGAGTTTATGTGTAAAAGCTTGTCATAATTCATTGAGGGTATGCCCTTGCAATATATCGATTTATTACGACCCTTCTTTTACCCTTCAATGAATCTGCATACAAATAAACGGCATTATCGCTTGTCTAAGGAATGTACGGGAAGTATATGAATAAAATCATAAAAAAGACATTTCATCCATGCTAATGGCCTTTTATATATCTGCAAATAATATTTTATTTAATTGCAAAATACATTTTTCATTGTATCAAAGATTACTTGATCCGCCTCTAACTGCATACAAACTGCGTCAATTTTTACGATATGACGTCACATTGACAAGTGCATTGCTATCAGTGAATTAAACTTATTGTTTTCGTTCGGTTTCTTTTTCCCTATTATTATTATTAAGGTCTTCCACTCCAGGCGGAAGACCTTCTACTGATTCTGATGGTTAAGATTATTAAGGTCTTCCGCTCCAGGCGGAAGACCTTCTACTGATTCTGATGGTTAAGATTATTAAGGTCTTCCGTTCCAACGGAAGACCTTCTACTGATTCTGATGGTTAAGATTATTATTCTTTTTTTTTTTTCTTCTCCTTTGAGACCTCATATCTCGCTCAATTCTCAACGGATTTTGCTCAAATTTGCAGAGTTTATAGACGTTACAAAACTCTATCAGAATGCTGTCAAACAGTTCAAAAAGTCACTTCCGCTTTTGAGTTATTGCCCTTTAAATGAAAATTTATTAGGCTTCATTTCCAGACAAAGGCTCCGAGACTACAAAAGCTGGAGCAGAAATTCTACCGAATTTAGATAATAGAAGGATTGAAGTTGTGCACATCGGTTTTTGTTTTTCGATTTCTGTATTCAAAATGGCGCTAATTAGGGGTCAAAATTTAAAACGCCTAAAAGAGCGAAAATTTAGACACATTTTCCTTTGTATCTTTAAAACTAAACATATTTTGATAAAACATGTAGAATAAAAGTTGTGCACAATTGCAAGGCCTTTCATTTGACACCACTAAAAAGGGACTGGCCCCTCAAATTAGGGATCTGGAGCCCTTTAAAGTTTTTGCTTTATAACTCAAAAACGGTAAATATTTCGAAATGGCTGTCGTTAAAAAAGTTGTTCTTTAACATCTTATTGATTTCATGAAAACGTTATTTTGTTCGAGTCTTGTGTTTTAAATGCGCCAGAAGCTTGACCCATATACAGGTAACTGTTTTCATTCAGCAAGTAAACGAGAGCTCTTCATGCGTGTAACTAAAATAAACTTACTATAAATAATAAATCTGGCTACATTAGAAATGCTAATATTCTTTAGAATAAGGTTCTTGAAGTGTTTTGTGCTTTATTTTCAAGTTATTTTTTGACAACTTTTCGTTTTATTTCATTTTTTTCAAAGTCGAATAAACCAGTCTACTAAAAAAAGGGGAAAAAAGATAACCTTTTCTTCTTATCATATAAAAACAAACAATATACTGAGAAAATAAAACATAACTTTGAAGCATAGACTATTTACAGCCATTAAGTGTGCGCCTTTTACATTCACCTTGTGTGTTTACAATTATGTAACACCTACCTCGATAGCGCGTGGCAAAGGAGGTCACCGGGGATCAATCGGCGTGTGTGATCCAGCGACCTAGTCATACACAAAACAAATCATAGAATGGCCATTCCAAATTCATTTTGTAAACTAAGTCATGAGTGGATGAATATGTTGAATTTTCAGATTATTTCAGAATATCTTTGATTAAATCGCTAGTGTATTTTATTTAATATTTTATTCGCTGAATTACAGGAAAGTTGCATAGTTATTTTTATAAACAATTTATTTCTCGATATCGAGTTAATTGTCTGTTTTATTCATAATAAAATTCAAAATATGTAACCTTAATTAATTCCTACTAGTAATGGAACTTTTGAAACTTAAATGTACATGTATGTAATCTAATATACGTTCTTTTGTCGACGCCCTTAAAATGTACAACTGTATATATACAAAGCGCCCCTAATATATGCATGTCGAGCGTATGGAAATACAAAATCCCACATTCACACGCGCCTCCAAAATATGTAGAATGAGACATACATGCGTAACTGTATTTG